CCAGGATAGGTGACACTGACCCAGGGGTTGTGACACTGACCCGGGGTGGGTGACACTGACGGGGGATGTGACACTGACCCAGGGTGGGTGACACTGACCCGGGGATGTGACACTGACCCATGCACATGGTCTGCTCCCCGGTGGCCTTGAAGCCGTTGTGGCAGATGCAGACGTAGCTGCCCTCGGTGTCCACGCAGTCGCCGTGGCTGCACACGTTGGGGATCTCCTGGCACTCGTTGCGACCTGGAACGGGCCCAGGGGGTGCAGGTGAGGGGCAGGGAGGGGACAGGTGGGGAGAGCAGAGCCCCGCCCACGGTTCTGGACAGGTGACTTGACAGACAATGAGATTTATGTGCTGTCATCCACGAAAAAGGGAGGTGTGATCAGGTGTGTGTTTAGGTGTGTCCCAGGTGTGTCCCAGGTGTGTCCCAGTGTGTTTCTCAGGTGTGAGTGGCTCAGGTATGACCAGGTGTGTCCCAAGTGTGTTTCCCAGGTGTGCCCAAGTGTGTCCCAGCTGTGATCAAGTATGACCAAGTGTAGACCAGGTGTGTCCGTCTGAGGTATAATTTACAGATGTAAGTGGCTCAAGTATGACAAGGTGTGTCCCACGTGTGTCCAGGTACGCCCAGGTGTGTTTCCCAGGTGTGTCTCAGGTGTGTTTTTCAGATGTGAGTGGCTCGCTTATGACCAGGTGTTTCCCAGGTGTGTATCCCAGGTGCACCCAGGTGTGTCCCAGGTGCATTTCCCAAGTATTTCCCAGGTGTTTCCCAGGTGTGTGTGCCAGGTATTTCCCAGGTGTTTCACCCAGGTGTGTCCCAGGTGTATCTCAGATGTTTCCCAGGTGTGCCCAGGTGTTTCACCCAGGTGCGTTTCCCAGGTATGCCCAGGTGTTTCACCCAGGTGTGTCCCAGGTGTGCCCCAGGTGTATCCCAGATGTATCCCAGATGTTTCCCAGGTATGCCCAGGTGTTTTGCCAGGTGCATTTCCCAGGTATGCCCAGGTGTTTCCCCCAGGTGTGTCCCAGGTATGCCCAGGTGTTTTGCCCAGGTGNTATAATATAATATAATATAATATAATATAATATAATATAATATAATATATATAATATAATATAATGTAATGTAATGTAATGTAATATAATATAATATATATTGTATATTACTAAATCTATACTATATTAATACAATTAATATTAATACATTAATAGTAGCATTAGCATATTAATATAGTAATACTAATATATAAACATTAATATAATTAATACTGTATATTACTATTAAAATTATATTATATTATATTATATCGTATTATATTGTATTATATTATATTATATTATATTATATTATATTATATTATATTATATTATATTAATCATATTATATCATATCCTTCTAAGAACATGGAGTCAGCTTCATCATTTCCTCCTCCATCCCGGGGACCCAGCAAACACCTCAGTGCCCCACTGACCTCTGCCATCCGTGGAGTAGCCAGGGCCGTGGGGACACATCTTCTTGTAGTGGGCAGTGCCAGGCAGGGGGCAGAGCTCGCACTGGGGGCCCCAGCTGCGCCCGCTGTTGCAGCAGCACTCGGACTTGGTGACCAGGTTGCGGTTGGTGGAGGACATCTGGCACATGGTCTGCAGCACCTCCGTGAAGCAGAAGCCCTGCCGGGTGTCTGGGCACAGAAAGGGGGACACAAATCCAGGCTCTGAGGCAGTGCCAGCACCAGGGGGAATGGAGCAGGCAGTGCCAGGGAGGGTGGGGGGGTTTGGATAAAGGGGATGCTCCAACAGTTTTCCTGCTCAGGAGCAAAGAATCCCAGAGAGGTTTGGGTTGGAGGGACCTTAAACCCACCCAGTGCCACCCTTGCCATGGGCAGGGACACCTCCCACTGTCCCAGGGTGTCCCAAACCCCGTCCAACCTGGCCTTGAACAGTTCCAGGGGCAGCCACAGCTGTGCCAGGCCCTCCCCACCCTCCAGGGAACAATTCCTGCCCAGTGTCCCACCTACCAGCAGGGAGCCATGCCCTGTATCCTTGTCCCCAGTCCCTTCCTGCTCTCTGAGCCCCTCTGAACCCCCAAAAATCTGCCTGTGCTGCCGGGGGGCGCTGCAGCAGCCCAGCAGGGCATTACCGATGCACTCGGTGCCCGAGGCACTGACTTCAAAGCCCTCGTTGCAGTCGCAGCGGTAACTGCCGGCCGTGTTCACGCAGCGCCCGTTGGGGCAGATCCCCGGCTTGCTGCGGCACTCGTTCTCATCTGCAGGGAGAAGCACACACTCAGAGCCCTGCTGAGGCCAGGCACAGACCTGCCCTGCTCCCCACTGCCCGTGGAGAGACCTCACTGAGCCCCTGAGGGTCCTTTTGGTGTCTTTGGGCAGCTGGGAGGCACCTCCACCTGGGGTTCCTCCATGGAGAAAACACCCATCCATCCCAGAGCTCTCCCAGGGCAGGGTGGCCAGAACTCAGCTTCCCTGGCTTGGCCATGCTCCAGCTGCTGCTGGGATTGGATTGGGTTGGATTGGATTGGATTGNGGACACCCCTGTCCCTGTCCCCTCCCTACCGTTGCCCTCCTGCGGGCACAGCTCGCAGGGGTCTCCCCAGCCCTCCCCGGGCATTTTGCTGCAGCAGCACCGAGCCTTGGTGGTGTTGAAGGCCTTGGGCACCGAGCACTTCCCGTTGTCGAAGCGAGTGAAGCAGAAGCTCTGGCGGGTGTCTGAGGGAGGATGGGGACGTGCCAAGGTCAGGGAGATTCCGGGAATTCTGCAGGAATCCCAGGAATCGGGCACTGACCGAAGCAGCGGCGGCCGTTGTCGGACAGCACGAAGCCGGGCGGGCACACGCACTGGAAGCTGCCGGGGGTGTTGGTGCACGTCCCAAAGAGGCAGATGTTGGGCTCCTCCTCGCACTCGTTGATGTCTGGGGGCAGCAGGGACACAGCCAGGGGTCATTGGAGCAGGTGAGGGCGGTGGGCACCACCCCTGCCCCACCCCACAGCCCTCCTGATGGAGAATGGGCACAGCAACGCCCCAAAGCCTCCTGTGCCATCAGGGCTGGGCTTGCCTGGCTCCCTGCAGGGATTTGGGGGTGCTGACCCCCCTGGGGTGCCCTGACCGCAGGTTGGGGTGTGCAGGGGCCGTGATGGGGGCACAGGGCTGGCCTTACCAATGCAGTTGTCGTTCTGCACCTCGTAGCCAGGGGGGCAGATGCAGCGGAAGGAGCCCTCCAGGTTCTGGCAGGTGCCAGGGGAGCAGGTCCCGGGCAGGCTCACGCACTCGTTGATGTCTGGAGAGGGGAAAACAGCCAGGGGTGGGGTCTGGGCTCTGCTCTGAGCACCTCAGGGTGCACCAGGCCCCGCCTTGCCCCAAAGGTGACGCAGAATGGGGGAGATATTTCCAAGATGGTTCTCAGGGTATCCCTGGTAGGACTTTGGGGCATGGACAGGATGTTCCTCCCACTGCCTGCACACGGAGGGACAGGCCTGGAGGGAGATGGAGGCAGGGAAGGGCCAGCCCAGCTCTCCATGGGCATCTCAATGAGCTGGCTTTGCTTCCAGGGAACTTTGTGGGTGCTTCTGGAGAATGGAACTGCTGGGAGCAACTTGGGGAGCACATGGACAGCACCAGGCAGGCCAGAGGACCCTGGCCATGGAGTGGACATTAGGGTGGACACTCACCCACACAGTTCTTGCCGTCGGGGGTGCGGTCGTAGCCCTCCTGGCACAGGCACTGGAAGGAGCCCANTTGGACTGGATTGGGTTGAGTTGGGTTGGGTTGGATTGGGTTGGACTGGACTGGATTGGACTGGGTTGGACTGGATTGCGTTGGGTTGGACTGGATTGGGTTGGGTTGGGTTGGACTGGATTGGGTTGGGTTGGACTGGATTGGACTGGACTGGATTGGAGCTGTCTCTGCCCCATGCAGCTCCGGGCTGTTCATTCCTCCCCATCCCAAAAGCTGCTTGGAACACTCAGAAAAACTCAAAGGCAAGGACACATGGCCCAGGGCTGTGTCACCCTAGAGGTGATAGACGGCTCCAGGGATGGACAAAGGTTTTGTGTGTCCTGTTGTGTGGGGACACTCAGGAAGTTGTGACATGTGGGAAAGCCCAGGGAGGAGCTCAAGGATGTAAAGCAAAGAAGGATGTAAGGCACAGGTGTGTGGATGATCCCTCAGAGAGGAACATTGCTGTCTGTGCCCCAGGAGTGCCCCAGGAGTGCCCCTGGTACCTGTGCAGCCCTCGCCGTCGGGCCTGCGCTGCATGCCAGGAGGGCAGATGCACATGAAGGTGCCGATGAGGTTCTTGCAGAGCATCCCCCGGGACTCACAGTCGTGCAGCCCCTCTGCACACTCGTCCAGATCTGCAACGAGACCCATCAGAGCCCCTGCCAGCCCTGCTCTGCCACCCCTGCCCTGCCCCATCCATCCCTGCAGCCTCAGCCAGCCTGGCTGGCACTCAGGTTAAAAAATGTCATGGAATGAGTTGGGACTTTGAAACTCATCCAGTGCCATGGCAGGGACACCTTCCACTGTCCCAGACTGCTCCAAGCCTTGGACACTTCCAAGGATCCAGGGGCAGCTTCTCTGGGAAACCTCCCCACCCTCCCAGAGAGGAATTCCTTCCTACCACAACACCGAGGTGGGTGATGGTGAGAAAAGCCAGCGCAGAATTCCCACCTGGCCAGGTGCAGGGGCTGGGGGCAGTTGGGGCCGTGCCCTGGGGGCTGCACAAGGGGTTTTACCTCTGCACATCCTCCTGTCCTCGCGCAGGGCGTAGCCAGAGGGGCAGGTGCACTCGTAGGAGCCGAAGGTGTTGATGCAGCGGAAGGCGCAGAGCAGGGGGTTCAGGGAGCACTCGTTGATGTCTGCAGGCAGGAGAGCACAGCACTCACCTGGGTGCCCTCAGGAGCTCCCCAGGGCGCATCCACCTTCCTGGGAATCCATCCCACACCAGAACTTTGCTCCACCAAAGCCTCTTGCTGTGCTCTGCCCTTGCAGAGGGACAGACCCCTGGTGTCCCAGCAGCTTTGGGGGGAATGGCTGCTGGTCCTTGGGGAGGCAGCTGCTGTGCTCATCCAGGGCTCCAGGCCTCCTCCTGGGCTCCAGAAGGAGCTGGAGGAGCCCAGTGTGGAGAGGAGCCTCATCCAGCTTTCCACACCATCCATGGGGGGCTGGCCCAGGGGGTCCCACAAAGCCCAGGGTGGTGGGAATGAAGGGGCTGGCCCAGGCAGGGGCCAGGGGGTCCCACAAAGCCCAGGGTGGTGGGAATGAAGGGGCTGGCCCAGGCAGGGGCCAGGGGGTCCCACAGAGTCCAGCAGGGTGGGAATGAAGGGGCTGGCCCAGTCAGGGGCCAGGGGGTCCCACAAAGCCCAGAGAGGTGGGAATGAAGGGGCTGGCCCCCAGGTCATTACCTTCACAGGTCATCATGGGCCCTGGCTCAAAGCCCTCATCACAGGCGCACTCAAAGCCTCCCACCACGTTGGTGCAGGTACCATTCCCACAGGGATTGCCAATGGAGCACTCGTCCGTGTCTGGGGAGCACAGAATGTGAAGAGGAGGAGGAGGAGGATGGGGAAGGGCTGGGCTCTTGCAGGCCCAGAGCACTCCAAGTGTCCCAGCAGAGCCGGAATGGAAGGGAAGGGGCGAGGGAGCAGCGATTCCCTCCCTGAACACGCACACAACGATCCATACCATCTGGAGTGATGGGGATGGAGCAGGAGGGAGTAGGAAGGAACAGGAGGGAGCAGGGCACCCCCCCAGACCCCCAGGCCCCCCCAGAGCCTCACCCACGCAGTTGACCCCGGTGTAGTCCAGGTTGTAGCCGAAGGGGCACTCGCAGCGGAAGGAGCCGTCGGTGTTGATGCAGGCGCCGTTGATGCACACCCCCAAGTTCTCCGAGCACTCGTTCACATCTGGAAATGGAAAATTTGCAGCTTCACACGGCCACAAACTGGCCTGTCCCCTCAGCACTGTCAGGAGGTGCTCAGGGAGTCTCATTTCCTCTGCAGAGCTGAGGGATGAAGTCCTGGTGAGCAGTTTGGGGGGTTTGGGGGTGCCCAGTCCTGTGTGCCCCCCCAGGATCCCACCCTGCTCTCCAGCAGCCCAGATCTGACCAATTCCAGGCCCCCCACACAGCCTCACCTTCCCGGGTGTCACCTGGGCCTGGGATGGCCCCGTGGCCATAGGGACACAGCTCCTGGAAGGCAACTGGGAGAGAAAGGAAAAGTGGGAATGAAATGAGAAAGAAATGTGGGATGTGCTGGAGGGATTCTGCTCTGAAACGGGCTTTGAAGGCTTCTGGAAGTAATGGGGACACACCAAGGACTCTCCTGTGGGGACACAGCCACTGTTCCTATGGGGACACACCCATTCCTCCCA